TTTTTTGTAGCAGGAACTCCTTTGCATGTTAGGCCACACACCCCTAATGTAGCCAATCCTAATGAGTTTCTGCTGTTGGGTGTGGCCTGTTATGCTAATGAGCTCCTGCTGGGCGTGGCCAATTCAGGAGCCAGCCGGAACTCCGTTCCTGTGCGTTCCTGCCCAAAAATAGCCCTGGGTTTCTCCATCAAAGGAAGCATTACTAGAAAAGGGTTATAGGACTTGATCCAACCAGCCATCTTTAACCCTCAAAACAGGCTGTTCAGGGGCCCTGACCTGGATAGCCCAGGCAAGCCTGATCTCGGAAGCTAAGCAGGGCTGACCCTGGCAAGTATTTGGAAGGGAGACCTCCAAGGAATACCAGGGTCAGGATGCAGAGACAGGCAATAGCAAGCCATCTTTCTGAATGTCCCTTGCCTCCAAGCCCCACTAGGGGTCACCAGAAGTCAACCATGACTTCCAGGCACACACACACACAATATTTTAAAAAGGCTGTTACAGGGGATTTGCATAGACCAAACCCATGTGAGATGGTAGCCCTAGTAAGGAAGGGAATTAGGTGAGTTTGAGTGCAAAAGCTGGCTGGATCTATCCCACTCTAAAGAGTTCCGACGAGTTTTGCCTGCAGAATACAACCATTCAACAAGTTCTGTGCAAGCCCTCAACCAAAGGTCTCCTGGAACAAAACAGCTTTGCAGGCGTCTTGAAAGACCGAGAGAGAGAAAGACGGGCCGGGGTGTGTAACAATGCATGTGGCTGCACAAAAGGTGTTACGAGGAGGGATTACTGGAGCCAGACTGGGTGGTGTGAGTTCACGTGCCATTGTCAGAAACCTGGTCTCCGTGTGTGGTGACAGAGTGCGGTAGACAGCATGACAGCAAGATTGCGGGTGGACGATACCACTTCTCCTCCCAAGTTTAGAAACAAAACTTCCTGCAAGTCTAAAAAAAAAGAAATAACACATCAGCAGAGAACATTTCACACCAGCCCCTTTCCTTGTCGTCCTAGGGATTTTTTTTCTTGCAGGGAGTCTTGCATATAGGGCCCGAATATGGAGAGAAACGTTAAGATTGCCTGAAGTCCGAAGTGGGTGCAGTCCATTCTGCCACTTCGGAACTCTGCCGCATGTATAGAGCAGCCGGGACTTCTCTTAGGTGGTGCACTCAATGTGGGACTTCCTCCCCAAGAAGACCCACCAGGCCAGCTCGGTTCATTCTTTTTAGATGGTGGGTCAAAAACGTCCTGAAAAACCCTCACCAGGAGAAACCGTGCTTGCTGGATTCCCGCCCACTGGAGCCAGACTGGGTGGTGTGAGTTCACGTGTCATTGTCAGACACCTGGTCTACGTGTGTGGTGACAGAGTGTGGTAGACAGCATGACAGCAAGATTGCGGGTGGACGATACCACTTCTCCTCCCAAGTTTAGAAACAAAACTTCCTGCAAGTCTAAAAAAAAAAAAATAACACATCAGCAGAGAACATTTCACACCAACCTTTTTCCTTGTCGTGCAAGGGATTTTTTTCTTGCAGGGAGTCTTGCATATAGGGCCCGAATATGGAGAGAAACGTTAAGATTGCCTGAAGTCCGAAGTGGGTGCAGTCCATTCTGCCGCTTCAGAACTCTGCCGCATGTATAGAGCAGCCGGGACTTCTCTTAGGTGGTGCACACACTGTGGGACTTCCTCCCCAAGAAGACCCACCAGGCCAGCTCGATTCATTATTTTTAGATGGTGGGTCAAAGACGTCCTGAAAAATCCTCACCAGGAGAAACCATGCTTGCTGGATTCCCGCCTGTCATGCAGCTTTTGGGGCTGCAAGATTTTAATGTCTTTTGCATCTTGCATCTGGCCAGCTGCCCCGAACACAGCAAGGATTAAGTTGAGTGGAAAGTGCCATCAAGTTAACTCCGTTCCTGTGCGTTCCTGCCCAAAAATAGCCCTGTTCTTAAATAAGAACAGGTTAATTGTCTTTGGCTTTTGCCCCAGTATGGGGGGGGGGCAGAGGTGGCAAATTCATGCACTTATTTGGCTTTCAAGCTCCCAGGGTGATCTTAGGCAAGGCTCCCTCTAACTAACCTACCTCACAGAGTTGTTGTAAAAAGCACACTCCCATCAGGCTGAAAAGTTGTCCTGCTTCACACCCCTCATTTCTAGGAACAGAAATGGAAATATGACTCCTTAGCAGGGGACGGTTTCTTTAACCAGGGCAAGATTCAAGCCCAGTCATACCTTAAACACCAACAAGTAGCTAAAAAGCCTCTTTAGGAATCTGTAATCCCCCATTTCACTCTCCAGCTTGATTTGGTCTCCTAGCAAGTGCTCTCCTGCAGCAGGACAGAACCTGCTGGATTTTTCAGTGAACGAAAGGGTTAAAAGGAAAGAATCTGGATTCCTAGAGGAGCTTTTTCCCCCAGCTCTGTTCCTTCAGATTGTCTGTGTTTTGATTTGCCATGCAGAGAGGAAACAACGAAGGAGGGAAGTCCATCCCGCTTAGGTCAATGGGGCTTATTTTCCCCTCTCTTTTTTCCTCTCTTCCCTCCTCAATTTTGAGTTCCTTTCAGTGTGGGTGCCGAGCAGAGGGAAAATTTGATGACCTGTTTGTGTGCTTGGCAGCTCAGGCAACAGGGCACAAGGCAGGGAATTATATTCTAGGGCAGGTATATTAAAACCTAGATGCTTTGATAAAATAACTTCTCACTGGGAGACCTTCCCCAGGCTAGTTCATTATCAGTAGTCGTCGGCTCAGGTCTGCATGTCTCTTCTCCCCCTCTGCACGTCACCATTTTCTTGTTCCAGGTCCTTTCTGAGCACATTCTTGCTTTAAAATCCAGAACAGATTGGCTCTCCCCCCACTTCCTTGCACTGATTGCCTTGCGGACTTTTCTTTAGTTGACAGCCCTAGTGGCAAGTCCGTGGGACAGTGAACAGAGTCAGGCTTGGCAGGACGTCTGGCTTGCGTGGTGTCCCGTCAGCTGAGAGAATCCCATCTTGTTGCAGATGCGACAGAAAGGCTCTGTGAGAGGGATGACAGCTGGGGATGAATGAACGCCCCCTCCTGCCTGGGCCAAGAAGTGACAAGGTAAAACAGACTGGGCACGGGATAAATTTGAGTGATGCAAATAGGAATCGTTACGGGTGGGGGTGTTAGGGTGGGGGAAATGGAGGTGGGAGGTGGGAAATCCTTGTGGGAAACAAGACGGAGTTCTGAAATGAACTGGGCAGCAGTTGGGAAGGAGTGGGGATTGGAGAGGGGCCGTGGCTCTGTGGCGTGGATTGTAAACTTTGAGTGCAGAAGGTCCCAAGTTCAGTCCTTGGCATATCCAGCTAAGGGATATCAGCAGATGTTGGGAAACTGAGGTAGCAAAAGAAGAAATCAAGGTGTTGAGTAAATCCTTTATTATTTCCTGATGCGTTTTGCCTATGGCTTTGTCTGGGGTTCTATTACAGTCAAGGAGATACACTCATACATTAAAAACATTCATGAAACATATATATTCAATACAATACATTCAAAAAAATTTCTCTAAAAATTAAAGTTAAAAAACCAGGAACCTACAATTCGAAAAAGTCTTTTTAAAATTAAGGTATTATTTTAAAGGATTCTATAATAATTTAACCCTAGGAAAGTAGCAGCAAAAATTGTTAATTGCTATGTATTAATTAATAATGTATAACTGAACAACTGTTCTTCTTACCTATTGTAGCATAAGTCTCCAGTCTCACGTTGAACATTCTATAATAATTTAACCCTAGGAAACTAGCAGCAAAAATCATTAATTGTTACATATTAATGAATAATGAATAACTGAATAACTATTCTGCTATGAAAGGTAAGCAGAATAGTTGTTCAGTCATACATTATTCATTAATGTGTAACAATTAATGATTTCTGCTGCTAGTTTCCAAGGTTAAATTATTACAGAATCCTTTAAAATGATACCTTAATTTTTTAAAGACTTTGCAGATTGTAGGTTCCTGTTTCTTAAGCTTAATTTTTAAATAAATTATTTTGAATGTATTGTAAGGAATTTATATGTTCCATTAATGTTTTTAATTTATGAGTGTATTTTCTTGATTATAATAGATCCCCTGCATTTTATTGAGCAAATGCTAACAGTCTTCCTTCCTTACAAATTACAACAGAGTGTGCACTAGAATTATGTTGTTTACGTAATGTTTAATGGTTGTACCACTGAACCTGTACATCATATTGAAAATGTTGTTTATATTGTATATGTTAAAAATAATTAAAAAATTTAAGTGGGGGAAAAATAATAGATCCCCTGGCGAAGCCATAGGCAAAACTTGTTGGGATCAGGAAATAATAATAACAACAACAACAACAATAATAATAATAATAAAAAGGATTTACTCAACGCCTTGATTGCTTCTGCTGCTATTACTGTAGGAAATTGAGATAGTCACTATCTAAGACACCAGAGAGCCATCGTCAGTCATAATAGGCAATAGTGAGCTAGAAGGACCGGTGGTTGGAGTTGGCGAAAGGCAGCTTCGTATGTTCATAAGCCAATTCTTGCAGCTTTTTCAAGGATTCAGATCTAGGGGCCTTAAAAGGGGGGAAAAAACTTCAAGTGTTGCACTAGGCAAGTGGGAACCCAGAACAATTTTGCCTTGCAGTTTCTCAACAAGACTTACAGTTTCACTTGTGCTCCCCACAAATTCAAACATGAGAGTTTTACAGTGTCTTCAAAACTTGGCCCCAAAGCGTTAGGCGTCAGCACAAGTTCGCTTCGTTGCCTCTCAGGGGGGACGGGCAATTCTCCTGCTGATTCGCTCTTTTGTCTTCCCGTTCTAGGTGCGGTGCCCTTTCCGATCTGAGCCTGGACCTCTCTTTTTGGGATTCCACTGTCATCCCATCCACCCCACCCCATCACCTGGGAGGGGAAAGATGGTCTCCCATTTTCTTTCCATCCCACCGGTTTGAAAATACTTCAAAAAAAACCCCCTCTGCTTCTACCAGCATGGGGGGATTCCCTTTGAACTGCTGCTCTCCCTGCCTTTTTTTTTTTTTACTGATCGTGCATTAATAAGTTCTTCTCCTCCTCCCTTCTCTGCGCACAACTTGTGGCTGTATGAAAGAGGATGGCAGCAAGGACCTTTCCTAGTAGGGGTGGGGGAGCGTTGACAGGGGTGCATGACTACAATAACATTGTAACATTAATATTAATATTCTTTAGAATCATGTTTCCATTGAGGGACAAGGTCAGGAATGATTAAACTTGGAGAAGGGGGTGGGGGAAGAGGGGTCGTTGGGGAAGAGCAAGTTAAGATTTTTATTTTAGGAGTAGAGTTTTTGCCTTCACCGTGGTGGAGGATTAGAGCGGCCTGTCCAAGGGATGGGTGTTAACCAGTACCTAAAGCTATGTTCCACTCACGAGTGGGGAATTGCAGCAGCAGCGGTTTTCTCCACGGCCTTTTCCTCAGCTGCCCTGTGGAGTTGACATATGCCTTTGACCTGCCTCAGTTTACCAATGGTTCTCTTCCCCCCCCCCCCTTCGCCCCTTCTGGGGTGTTTGTGTTTAAAAGACATGGTTCCAGTTTCCCAGTCTAGCTCCTTACGTTCCTTTTTGGCTTGAGGGCAGCAGAGGTACTCCTAAGCTGAAAGTTTGGCTTCCTCTCCCTGTCCCTCAGCTTGCAATTCTAAGGGTGGGCAGGGTAGGTAGTTTCCCCTAACCCATTTGGGAAGGGACTCAAAAACATTTCAGCCATCCTCTGGGACTTAGGTGTGGAGAGGGGGAGACTTTAAGGCCCAGTGCTACATTGCTAAGGATCTGAACAGTATTTTTTTTAAAAAAGAAAAACACTGAAATCTTTTTTTAAAAAGCAAAACAAATAAACAAACTTGAAGCTGTGTTCGTGTCTGGGGGTTTTTTGTGGCGGGGGGGAGGAGAGGCTGAATCATTGGCTGCTCCGTGGTGTAACTCCAGAAAAATTTGAGTCCTCCTGTACTTCATCCTCTCCTGTCTTGGGCTGAAAGTTTCTCTCTTGAAGAGAGGATGGGCTTCAGAGATGAATGACATGTCATCCAAAGAACCAACAGCAGCAGAGACTTTTAACTAATCACAAAATAAGGTTTTTGGCTGGAGTCTAAGTGGCAGCCATCAAGTAGCCAGGTAGATCTCTTGGGACTGTCCGAAAGGTGTAGCAGCAATTCTGCAAAGACCCTTTATTGGGGTGGTTGCTTCACTCGGCAGAGATGCCTCGAGAAAAGCCTCTAAGGAGCACTGGCAATGGTAGTTGTAAACGTTCCCACAACCCAAGTTTTGGGGGGAAATGGGAGGGTGACATGGAAAACAGCAGAATGCAGCCATTCATCAGTGATGCTGCCTTGACCATCTCTAAGAGCTGACATAGCTGATTACATCAGTTGCACATAAAAGGACAGTCTTGTACACATGATTCACTATTCTGCCCTTACTTCCTGCCAGTCAGCTGACCCAAGGGAAAGTAACTAAGTTTGCTGAGTCTGCATCAGATGTGATCGAATGATCGAATTGCTGCCGATGAGAAATGTGGCAGAATCTTGCTGTTGCAGAGGCAACTGTGGGGGCGGTTCCACGGACTGCCGCTCCAGTCAGATGACACATCCCGATCAAGGCATTGTGCCAGATCACTCCTGACAGTAAATGTTTTTGTGATGTTAAAGGAACCTCCAGTCTTCGCTCATTAAAATGTCTCAGCTGTCCCAAGCGCAGTGGGAACACAGGAAGAGGTACTCCAAACTTAAACTCAGTGTCTTTTGCATGGTTTTAGTAGCCCCATCAGAAGTTACGTGGGATGAAGGGAATGGGCCACAGCGCTTGTGTACCTGTTGTTTTCCTTCTCAGGAGTTATTTACATTCAGGCAGAGGTCATTTCGGGGGGGATCGCGGGGGACCACAGTTCCCCCAGGTGAGGTACGGGGGGCGGGGCACATGACGAAGCTCCGCCCCC